ACATAAAAAGTTAAGCTTTTAATAATCTTAACAACTAATCATTGGTCAGAATTAAAACAAATGCAGTCCTGAGACCTCCTGTGCCACTATATACTCCTTTACTTTTGCTCTGTTTTGGGTGAGAAGCTAGAAACAGGAAAATTCACCCACACAAAGGTTAAAATCATGATAGTTTGATGGAAAATTCAAACTAACACATGTCTAGATGTACCAAATTAAAATAAAATTTAAATAAAAGGAAACTAAAAAGTTGTCCGTACCCACAAGGCTTAAACATTTAATGAAATCAAAGAGAAAAGCTATCCCATATAGTGCTATAGCATATAGCATGTAGCATATAGTAGTAGTGGCTTAGTGGTTCAAGGCTCTGGGGCTGCCACGCTGCCACTGTTGGGTACCTTGAGCAAGGCCCTTAACCCTCTCTGCTCCAGCGGTGCCATATCATTGCTGACGCTGCGCTCTGACCCCAACTTCCTGGCATGCTGGAGTATGCGAAGAAACAAATTTCACTGTGCTGGGACCAATCAAGACTCATTATCATTACTAACAAGCAAATGGTGGCTCAGGAGGTTTCAGGAGTGCATGTTTATTTAAAGTGGCATATTTTGCCATTTTGGGCTTGGTCCATCACATTTTTGTGATGGACATGCCAGTCCATCACAGGGCACCATGCACACACACACACACACACAAACACACACACACATTCACTCTTAGGGACGATTTATCTTAGACAATCCACCAAATAGCATGCTTTTGAGAATCTGGGGAAATCGGAGAACCCAGATAAACACGGGGAGAACATACGAAACTCCATGCAGACAGAACCTGGAGCAATGGATAGCGCTGGGAACCTTGCAGCTGTGAGATTGCAGACTCTCTGTGCCACCATGTCACCTCAGATTAAATATGAAACAGTTTAAACACCAGTCACGTGTATCATATTTATTTACTCATTTATTGGGGCCCAGGATATATTTGGTTTCCCTCCATAATTAAACCCAAACCAGTTAAAATGGGAATGCAAAATGTTTTGTTACAGCTCTTTTCCTGACTTTAATTAACATTGCATTGAGATTCCAGACTTTTTTTTTATTCTTATTTTTAATTTTTTCCTTTTTTTTTGTCGTTTTAGATTAAATCCATTCAATTTAAGCACCCAGCCTATTAAGTGTGGAACTATAATGAGTCATGTATAAAATATATATCTCTGACCCCCTGACAGACAATTAGTGTGGATTACTGTATGAATTATTATTCATGATTAGCATTTACTGTTACTGGGTTTCTTTGGGTTATAATTCATATAATTTCTGTCTGCATTTCCTAATCACAAAATAGCATGTTAAGTAATGATATAAGATCAAATAAGAGTCTGTTTCTTCCCAAAATATTATTAGTATTAAAATAATAAAATTGATAATAATAATAATAATAATAATAATCATCATCATCATCATCATCATCATCACCTGCCCACAGCCTGCACACACCTGCACACAGGTGATAAAGAAAAACCTTTGACATAAAATGTCTTATTAAGACACCAGAACAGCTTCAGTCTACATTGGCATCAGTTCTGTGGAAATGTACTGGAGCAATGAACACTGTTGTTCTAAAAGATATTCCCTGAGGTGCGGTTTTGATGATGATGATGATGATGATGGTGGTGGTGGTGGTGGTGGTGGTGGAGAGCGCACATAAGAGTTTATATGAGTTGAGATCTGGGTACTGTGAAGGCCACAGCATATGACAGGACAGTCATCTGCTGTGAAACCATTCAATGAGCCCTCGTGCTCTGTGTAATGGGGGAGGAGTCATCCCGGAAGAGACCACGCCCATCAGGATAGAAATATTTCATCACGGTATAAAAGTGATCAGTCAGAAGAACATTGCATTATACTCTGAATTCCGTCCACAGTTTAACACAGGCACTGTTTTTTCCTTTAATTTGTATCTGAAACATTGCAAACACATGGACAGACTGACACAAACACACACACACGCACGCACACACACACGCAATTTCCTACTTTACATGTCCTTGTGCCTCTCTGCACTCCCCTGTCCTGTCCTGTCCTGTCCTGAATCTGACCTGCCTGTCCATTTCCACTGTGGAAATCCTGTGACTGTCCACACACACACACACACCATAATGGCCTGTATTTCCCACCACCCCAAAAGTCCCATTGAATGAGGTAACCTCAACAGGATATTTACTACTGGCTACTGCACTTAAAGGTTGGTGTGTGTGTGTGTGTGTGTGTGTGTGTGTGTGTGTGTGTGTGTGTGTGTGTGTGTGAATTTGTAATGCATGACACATTGTATTTTGCAGAATGTGTTTGTGGTGTGTGTGTATTTGTGGTGTGTGTGTATTTGTGGTGTGTGTGTGTGTGTGTGTTGAACGAGGCTGTCGGAATGCCTGTTCCCTGTCTGCAGTCCACCTTGTGCCAGTATGCAAGCATACATGCATGCACACACACGCACACACACACACGCACACGCACGCGCACACGCACACGCACACGCACACACTTCTTTTTCCCATTGCTATAGACAGACAGGTGCACGGACTTAGATTTACACAAACACAAACACACAGAGACTTTCTCTTTCTCTCTCTCTCTCTCTCTCTCTCTCTCTCTCTCTCTCTCTCTCGCTCCGTTTCCAAGTCTGTTGAATTTCATTAAAACTCTAACATGACAATAAAAAGCAACTTTAAAGCACATCTGCCCTCTTCATGTAGGCGACACATGCCCTGCTGAACCACAAATGAAGCGTATTATCTTGCTTTTGGATCTGTCTTAAAGTATTTGTGCTAAACAGTGCTTGTCCCAGTTTCCTGGGGTTTGTTGAAAACTGCTCTGCCATAAATATATCACTGCTATTAATACCCACATAATGCAATTTATTGGCTGAATCGTTGCCAAGAATTTGCATTTAAAACTGAAAAAAGGCAAACAACCCGAGTAGCTCTAAGTAGAATCCAGTGAGAATGGATTAATATTAAATTAAAGGAATTGTCCGCGGGGCTTTCCCCGGATATCTGCTGCAACTGTAATGTACATGTGATTCCCACAGTAAAGATCTTCAGCATTTCGATAGCCAGCCATCCATATTCTACCGCTGTCGCAGGGAACCTGAAGGCTATCGCAGGAAGCATCGGGACAGGGTGCCAGTCCATCGCAGGGCACAATCACACACACACTCACACACCCATTCATACACTACGGACACACTCACACATCCATTCATACACTACGGACACTTTAGACACGCCAATCAGCCTACCATGCATGTCTTTGGACTGGGGGAGGAAACCGGAGTACCCGGAGGAAGCCCCCGCAGCACGGGGAGAACATGCAAACTCCGCACACACTATTCCCGGCGGGAATTGAACCCCGGCTAACCACTAAGCCACCGTGCGCCCTCATTTCGATAGTGTATCGAGAAAATGAAAACAGAAATGTACTGTATATCTAATCGCAGTTGTACAATTCCTTCAATTCCAAAATGTGTATTTTGTGTATTAAATTCTGTGTATTATATTCTTAATTCTTTTAAGCTGTAAATTTACATAAGGGACAAATCTGTAGATCTGTCTTAGCAGAATAATTATGAGTTTGATAGTGAATGGATACCAAAAAAAGAAATACTTTGGTCTCATCCTAAGACCTTTATCCATACATTTTCCATACCGCTTATACTACACAGGGTCATGGGGGCACCTGGAGCCTATCCCAGGGAACATGGGTCACAAAGCGGAGGACACCCTGGACGGGGCGCCAACACATAGGCAACGATCGACCGAGAAACACGAGATATTCTCCATTCATTTTAACCTATTGAAAACACTATAGAAATTCTGGAACCTCTCTGATCTCGTGGGATGCAATATCTGCCATGATTTCTAAGTACATAGATCGAATGCCCGCCTTTTCAAAGCGGTGGTGGGCGTGGTTATCAAACCGTTGTCATAAGGTCAATTTGTCTCTACATTTCGCTTATAAATGGACAGGTTTGTCGTTAAAATAAAAAATTGAATTGACACTAGCCTCTCTTCAATTAGTAACAGTGCTGCTGCTAGTTCAAATGACCAGTCGTCTTTGACATCCTCATGTAACAACAGCAGCAGTGAAGCCATGAGGCAAAAGATTTCTCGAACATGTCGAGATAATTGGAAATAAAACTTTCCCGTGGATAGCATACAATGCTACCAAAATTAAGGTATTTTGTGAACTCTGCTCTAAAGCAAAAGACATGCTATCACAACTGAGCAAGAATCTTATAAGGTGTTTGTAAAAGATGGCTTTTCTAGCTGGTTAAAAGCACTGGAAAGACTAGCTGTGGTTAGTATTGCTGGCGCTGCCAGTGCTGGTACTGATGTGGCAGCCGCTCTAAATACAGGTAAACAAAAGCAGATGGAAGACACGCGAATTGCTTGCGTGCTTTATCATCCGTCCAATCTCTTGCACGCCAGGGATTGGCAATTCGACAGCACACGTATGAGGATTCTGATTGAGTTCAACTGTTAAAGTTACGAACGCAAGAAGTCATGGTCACGTGGCTTTCTCGTGATATTATCGCCGAGATGCTCGAAATGATGGCCCATAATGTTCTCCGAATGCTAATCGGAGAAATACAGAGTGCTGAGTTTTAATCCGTGATTTTAGGCGGATTCTCATTCACCCATTCACTCACACACCAATCGTAGTAGACTTAGTAGCTAACTTGCCATTGGGAGAAACTTGTGGTTTAGTGTCTTGCACAAGGACACAAGACACTTCGGCATGTGGAGTCACATGGGCCGGGAATCACCATGGCCTATGCGCCATACCCATCCTTGGGCACAATCGCACACACAAATGGACACACTACACCACACTACAGACACTTTGGACATGCCAATCAGCCTTCAGCACATGTCTTTGGACTGGCGGAGGAATCCGGAGTACCCCCGAAGCATGGGGAGAACATGCAAACTCCATGCACACACGGCACAGGTACAGGCAGGATCGAACACCCAACCTCTGAGGTGCGAGGCAAACGTGCTAACCACTACGCCACCGTGCACCCCGAGACCTTTATTGTTTAGTAGAAGATGAACTGTTTAGTAGTTTTATTTAGCGTATGATGATTGTTGGAAATCAACAACTGCATCCTAAATGTTCATTACAAATGAGTTTTGACTAAATAGTACTTCTGTTCCTTTCTCGATACAAAGGAAGCATGTAAAACAATCTGCTGTATTGCTTTAATGTGTGTGAACCTTTTCTTACTGTGCTGTTCTATCCAAATTAGATTGGGATTTTCAAGTCAGCCTTCCAAAAAGCATGTTTGTAAAAGAGTAGGACCTTCACACACACACACGCACACACACACACACACACAGACAAGAGTCACCCAGGAGCTGAAAAGGCAATAGGAGCTTGTGCAGAATTCCTGTAAAAGTTGATTTCGGTTATATACACATACTTCCTGTTCGAGAAGTTCTTTCACATGCAGAACTACCGCTGCACTGCCAGCTGGAGTTCATTCGAAAACTTGCTCCACTACTAAATGTCCTGCTTTGAGTACAGGAAGTGGTTTTGTGCATATTGCAGGGCAGCAGCTTTAGAAGTAACCTCTGCCTGATGTATAGGCATGAGCTGCAGAACAGGCTGGAGTGCAGGGGAGCAGGGAGTGGCTTTGGATTCAAACACACACACACACACACATAACACGTGCACACATACACACACACGTCCCACAGTGTCTCAGAAGCCCCGCTGTGGGTCATGTGATCTGGGCTCGGAGAGGAAATGTCTTTTCTTGCGGGTTGCCAGAAAACCTCGGACCATACAAGGCAGTTCCTGCCCTGACACTCTCCTTCCTGCCGGCTATGTATGGAGTTTCCTGGCCTCTCTCCCTCCCTCTCACCCTTTCTCCTGTTCTCTTTTCTTTTTGTTGGCTGCCTGCCCTGGCAAACTCGCTGGGTAAAATCCTTTCTCTTTCTCTTGCTTTTTTTTTCTCCCATGGTGTTTTTGTGTGTGTGTGTGTGAAGCAGGCAAGAGGTTTCTGATTACAGATTGCTGCTGTGCGAGGTAATGGCAGTCATGTGTGCATGTAATCATATGTATTCCTATTGTAGTACTATATAATATTTGTTGCATAGTGTAATAGTATGAGCATACGTGTGTGAGTGTGTGTGTGTGTGTGTGTGTGTGTGTGTGTGTGTGTGTGTGTGTGTGTGTGTATGTGTGTGTGTGTGTGAGGTGTAAGTTAGCAAATCATTAAATCCACCTCTGGATTCATCACACTGTTGTGTATACAGAGACACACCCCCTCGTTTTTCCACTCCTGTGTCTCTAAAATGATCTAAGCCCAGAGACTTTAACCCAATCCTCATGGTCTTCTTCCTGGTTTCCGCTCTACTCCAACACACACACAGAGAGAGAGAGAGAGAGAGAGAGAGAGAGAGAAGACTAGAACATGGACTGTGAAGTCTTTGTAATGATTGTAATCAGGTTGTTCTACGGTGCTTGATTACCTGACCCAGGTATGCTGGTAGATGAACAATCTAGGTGAAGGGTGAACGTCACATGTTCATCAACGTGTGTGTGTGTGTGTGTGTGTGTGTGTGTGTGTGTGTGTGTGTGCGTCTACGTCTGCTTTTTTATGCAATATATCTCCCTAGCCATATAAACACTTGACACAGGATAGACTTAAACAATCAGTCTGACCCTCTTTTACTACCAAAGACATCATTTGTAATTTAGTCACAGTGGTTCCAGATGTTTTCTCTTTTTTTCCACACCGGAAACATCTCATATGGACTTTCTCATATGGACTTTCTCATATGGACTTTCATGCGTATGTACAAAATGATTCTTTTCAGTGATTTGAGTCATTTAGTTCAATGCTGTGAAAGTATTCAAATCATTTACTCACTGGATTGTTAATTTATTTATTTGTTTTAAAGAGAGTGAGAGAGATTTAGAGATAGAGAAAGAGAGAGAAAGAGAGAGTGAGAAAAAGAGAGAGAGAGAAATAATAATGTTTTATAGACTTGTCTATCAGAAAGGTTTATTACCACTTTTATTACCACTCTTGTTCTATTTCTTATAATCATATTAAATACTACTTCCTGTGTAATGATGAGAGTGCATGTTTTGTGATTGAGACTATATACTATAATAACCTGTCTGTAAATGCATGTACTTCTACATTCAACGTATTTTTATATTATTTTACACATTTACTAATTTCACATGCTTGTATGTTTACCGCCATGAATACAGTTTTTTTTCCCCCTTTCTCCGAGTCCCAACGAGAGCGATACGCTCAGCTCTCAGCTGGAACGCTGCTAGTTTGTGGCGTCACACTGTTTAAAACACACAGAAATCTCTAGCAGGCCACCACAAAAGCATTTCCTTGATTATGGACAGTCATAAATATATACATCATATGCTGCCGGGCTTGTTTTTTCTGCACTAAACACCCATCAAATTAGACATTAAAGACGCACCATACAGTCGTTTTTTCAATCTTGCCGTTCAGTTCACTGTTCACGTTTATTCACTGTTTCTTTCTAGCATGATTCAGATTTGATTGAGAGAACAAAACAAACTGCATCATGCTTGGGATTTGGTCCGGAAGGTTTATGCTATTAGCCATACTTAAAAAACCAGCTCTTTTGAACAAAACTTTGACAGGAAGAAGTTCATCAGTGCACAAGCTAAGCAAATGAATCTTAGCGCTTCAGCATAGTTACCTTATAAGATTATCGGACAGATTCCTGGACAGAGATTAAGCCTAGTCCTATACGAAAACGGCCTTTTAAACCAGATTAACAGAAATCTGCTTCTCCGTCATCATCCTAGACTTAGACCTGAATTTACTTAGCTGATTTCCTGAAGGAGGATCTACTCCAGGTCTAAATTGAGCTCTACAATAAACCTCCCATATAATTTATAAGATTGCTTGTGAATGATACCGTATAATACTTGTGTCAAACAGTATGAAATATATGGCTGAGATTAAACGATGTGTAACTCTGCAGCGACGATCCAAGTATTTTTCAAAATTCTTACAATAAATATGCGCAAGTGTTGTGATTTTCTACCCTGCCAAAGCATAATGTGTATAAGTGGAATAATGTCGGATTTCTTGATGTATGTATGTACGTAGTACTTAAAAAAATATATATATACACAGAGCGCCTGTGCCAAATCAGATCGGCACTCATGGGAACGTAGCTTTTGCGGCTTGACTCGCTGATATAAACACAGAAACATCTGTTTATACACAAGCCTTCACCATATAACCCAAGAGGACTTTCCACACCACACACTCATACACACACTCATTCAGAGGCCTAGAGAGCAGCTTGTGCTTACATCATCTATCCCAACACACGCTGTAATCCTAGTATGACGGAAACCCCCCATCTGGGCCAGTGACATCACCTCAGTGGCGAGAGTGATCAGTGTGTGGCAGCATGCAGAAAGTGTGATGGAACCGATTCGCTCCGCTTACAGTAATGAATATGAATATGAATTAATATGACTGCAGCCCTTTAGTGTGGCGAACTGATTTGTTCCTTTCAATTTGTCACTATCCTGATTGTCACTGTAGAACACCAAGCAGCGTTCGGCGACACCTGCGATTTCCTACGAGTACAGTCAAAGCATGACCTGAATTTGATGTAGGATGATCGAGGTAAGGTAAACTCCCCTTTAACTGGGCCAACTGAGAGATAATCCATTATAAAATCCAGGGTCAGCAAGGTTCAGTTATATCACCTGCTGTAAACACAGTGAGGCTGTACACCTTACTTAAACCTAAGACCTAAAAACGGTATGGCTTTGCAAAGCTGCGTGTCTGACATAACTCTCAATGTTTACTGTAACACTTTTGTTTTCTTTCTTAATTCAGGCCTAGATTCTTTCTCAACTGACCGGCTTTTGATTCTATTGAAGATTATGATATGCAGTAGTAGATCTGGATGTAAGCATGTTTAGTAAAACAACCAAGTAGAATGGGTGTATTTTTTTATTGATTATATTTTAAAATGTAATTCTTTATGTGTGTTTAGAAATTTAGGGATGTAAAAAATTTTCTGTATCTGTTCAAGACATTTTCACATTCAGAACGTTTTTTCCAGGTAGTTTGTTTTTTTTTGTTTTTTGCAAACAAGTTTGACAGGGCATCTAGTTTTCTGGAATCCTGTGAGACGTGGCAAGAAAGTTGCACATGCAGGAGGTTTTTACTTTCATGCGGCCGGGAGCGAGAAGTTGGATATGAAGCTTGGAGGGACAAACAAAAACCGCATTCACTGGTATAGATGTGTGTCGATTATTCATAGCATTCTTTCACAGATCCTTAGTTGAAATTACACTACCCCCACTGTTTTCCAGTTGGTCGTAGTGGTAGAGTTTGTATTTATTTTTTTTTAAAAACACACATACACACACTCAAGGTTAAGATAGATAGTATCGTTGTGGCATTGTGTTACACACCTAACGTTCACATCAAGGAGTTTTGCTACTAACCTTGACCTTACAAAGACCCTCAGCTACACCAAGCTGTGCACAAAATCATCACTTTCTTAAGCATCTGCCAACCCTGGAGGTGTGAGGCAAAGGAGCTAACCACTAAGCTACCGTTCCTCCCCAATGTGAAAAAATGTGAAACGTGAAAATACTACATCAATGAATCATGTGCAACTAGGGGAGCAAAGAAGATGAAGAAGATACCTATATTTGTCACATATACATTACAGTACAGTGAAATTCTTTCTTCATATATCCCAGCTTGTTAGGAAGTTGGGGAAAGAGCACAGGGTCAGCCATGATACGGCACCTCTGGTTTAAGTGCCTTGCTCATGGGCCCAACCGTGGGAGCTTGGTGGTGATGGGGTCTGAACAATTGACCTTCTTGTGTATATATGATTGATCAGAGCTATAACCACTGCCGCTGCCCTTTGGGCCAGATAAAAAGTAAAAAAGTTCAGAGAAACTGTCCTTAAGTATAAACTTTGGTACTGTGTCAAATTTGACTTAATTATCAAATTGCATGTGATTGTTTTTTTAAGA